TACCGACTACTTCCTTAATCATCTTCTTAACTTCATTCTTGCACGCGATTTCATCCTTGACTGCTTTCACAGTTTTTATCAGCCAGTCAATTTTCATGTCAACCGTTGCCGAGGAACTCATAGCTCTGCTTCCCCCAATTGACCCCACTGATGACACTCGATCTCTGCTACTACCTGCTGCCGGCACCGATGTCTTCTGATTTTCTTCTTCAGCATTGAATTTTTCAAAGGGACCTCCGCATGCTACCAACTCATGATTCCTATCAAGTACCTTATGCTTATTCACACATCCAGGGTGGTAAAACAGTTTCACACAAGTCTTACATCGCACTACTTGGCTTTTGATTGGCTTTTTGCAAGCAGAGCACCTATACTCATCGTATTCGCCCGTGCTGTCCATCTTGCCCGGTATAGCTGGTAAATTATCGACGCTTACCGACCATAACTATCTTTTCTTGGCTTCTTTGCATTCACTGCCTTTGTGCTTACCCGCACAGTGCTGACACGCCTCTTCTCGTTTGCAATACTTCGCAATGTGATTGTATCCCCAACATTTAAAACATCTTTTAACACTTACAAAATCTTGTACTGGACATTTTTTCCATCCCAAGTTAAGTTTCCTCTTCTCGATTATTTTGTTGTGCGTTTCGGTATCTACTTCCAGTATCACCGTACCTTCCGTGTTTCTTCTATCATTTTGCTCTCCCACTCTTACAATTTTTCTTATCTTCTTGATTATTTTCATATGGGACGCATTCATGTCATTTTGAGTTTTTATTGTTTCTATCATTTGGCTACCATTCATTTCCATCTCTTCTGCATCTATTCCAATTATTCTTATCTTAGGCTTCTTCTGCCTATTCGTATTCTTCAGGCCTTGAATTTCACTTCTTGTGCTGCATCCCAGTATGACCGCACCATCTCTACGTGCGAGCGTGCGAGCGTGCGAGCGGTCCCCCACCAAGCTCCCTATTGCGTATGAGGGGCCTTGTTGCCGTCTCGCTTACACTCACAAGGACGCACCGAGCGACGCACTGGCGTCTCACTCGCACGGTATTATTTTCTGCGTTGCACGCACAAACCAAGATACGTGAGGAGGCGCCGCCCAATCTCCTCTCTTACCTCACCGCACCTCGCCCGCCGTTGTCACCATTATTGAGGTTCAATGTACGCTGCGGGACATTAATGCCGTCCTTGGGTGGAGCTAGTAGGAAGCGTAAGTGGGGCGACCGGCAGTGGCGACTGGTGGCGAGCAAGCCAGGCCAACGCGTACAGAGCGTATTCCCCTCGCTCGGGACGATATCTCTGTTCCGAGTTCAAGCGTCCCATATACTAGTGTCTTACACAATTTCAACATGAGTTCGCATAAGCCCATCTCATTCTTAGTTAGTGGAGTCCCAGAGATAGCCTGCACTGCGTATAAGAGCGTCTATAAAAACTAAAAACTATCGTCTTAAATACTAGGAACTATGTCGAATCACACACATACGTACACTCATCACGCGCCCTCCACATGAATTTTTGTTACACATTTCGGGCGGGTTAAAGAGATTTACTAATTTTATACTATTGTGAAAGCAGCCTTATATTAATATTGAAAATTCGGTATGAACGATAGCTTCGCTTACAAAATGTATTTGATTATGCTGTGTATTCGTAAATTACCAACACCATCTAGAGTACATATAGGTAAAGAAGGCAAAGCAGTCAGCGCCATCTGTCGTGTAAAAAAGTAGTTGGATGGGCGAAGACGACGACGACGGAACTGAAATAAATTATCGCGCTCGCTATCTTACGCTCTGATCTCGTACATCAACCGTGTTGGGCTTGGTGGTAATCGATTCAGAACCTTCAATTCCTATAGTGAACGTATCAATAACTTTTTCTCATGTATAGCGGTTCATAAGATATTTCGTTCCAAACACAGGTATAAGAGTTAACTCAAGTAAAGAGTCTCTGCGAGCCGTGCCCTGTACAGCCGGTTGCCTGTACTTGGCGCGAGATTGGATCGAGTCTCTTGATGATATAGATAATAACAATTTGACGATCCAAGATCTAAATTTTACCGTAAAAAAGTTATACAATTCCGATTTTAAGCCTACATCTAACCTACGTGACAATCAACGGTGGCTTGATATCTTATCGATTTTGGCATCCTCCTACGATAGCAGGAAGTATCGCACCATTGATATGAAGCTGACAGATGTAACTGCTCGAAACGAGAAGGAATTATTACAACGGACGTACAAGAAATTCAAAGTCACATCCACATTTAAACGATCAAAATTTAAAGTCGGCGACAAAATACGTATCAGCATATTTAAACACATTTTTGAGAAAGGCTACACACCCAACTGAACAACTGAAATTTTCACTGTAAGTCGAGTGAAGAATACTGATCCGGTGACGTACAAACTCAAGGATTACCAGGATCATCCCATCGAAAGTAGCTTTTATGAACAGGAACTCGTCAGCGTCAAATACCCCGACATATATCTTATAGAGAAAGTACTTAAGAGACGTGGAAACAGACTTTTTGTGAAATGATTAGGTTTTGATGATTCACACAACAATTGGATCGATAAGTCAGATTTGTAAGGTGTTTGAAATATTAATTCTATTAAGCGGTAATCAACGTTATATTTAGGACGAGTACTTTGTAAAACGGAAATAAAGAATTATAAAAGAGAGAGCTTTTTATTATTTTTATATAAAAATATAAATATTTTGTTTAATGATACTGCTGAAGCTATATTTTATATATAAGAATATGTATGAATATGAGTACTACTTGGCGGGTCCAAATTTATATCAAGAAATGCACAGATTCGCCAAGTAGGAATCACCTAAAGTTTTATTAATTATTAAATGACCATTAAATCATAATCAACTACGGGAAGCAGTAGTAATGTAAAAGAGTAGTGAAAATGTTATAGTAAATTTTGAAAATACAATTAAAATGATGGATCAGTGCTAGATCATATAATAGGCAAACATGTAGTGACTTATGTACTTGGCCTTAATAATTTAATATCAATACTTTTTATTAGAGGAATACACAGCACTCCTGTATTTGGCGCAGTTTTTTACACGTAAGTGTTTTTTAGGGGGATATCACAAGTTTTTGTTGCTCAACGGAACATAGAAGCTCTAAGCACCGAAATCTATATTTTCACAGATATACATATTATATATGATATAAGATATATCCAAATTTTTAAAGAAAATGTAATCTTAAATGCATAAAAGCGTCCTCAATGGTGTCCAGCTTGTTTAAGCCGGGAGGTAAACGTGAGAGAGGAGAGTGTGCTGGATTATTTACGTACCTCAGACCATGCGAACAACAGAGAGGATACTATGGTTTGAGCGAAACGCCAAAGCGTCGCTTGTTGCAAACTTTTCCGGACACCCTGAACTTCCACGTTTAACACCTAGAAACAGGAAACTACGGAGAGGAACACCTGGACATCCTATATCTCTAAAAACTGTCACCTAAATCACGAGGAAGTATGTCGAAGCGCACACATACATACACCCATACACACACGCTCCACATGAAAGCCTTAATAATTCTATAATATTGTGACAGCAGCCTTATATTGACTAGAAATTCGGTGTGAACGGTAACTTCACATACAAAGTGTATTTGATTGGGTTGTGTATTCGTTAATTACCAACACCATCCAAAAGTACAAATAGGTAGAGAAGGCAAAGCAGTCAGCGCCATCTATCGTGTAAAAAAGTAGATGGACGTGCGAAGACGACGACGACGACGGACCTGAAATAAAATCATCTCGCTCGCCATGTGAATACGCCCTGATCTCGTACACTAATCGTATTAAACTTGGTGGCAATCGATTCAGAACCCTTGATTACTATAGTGAATGTATCAATAAATTGTTCTCACACATAGCCGTTCATAAAATATTTGAGTCGAAACACAGGTACAAGAGATGCTTCGAATAAAGAGTCTCGGCGGGCCATGCCCTGTACGGCGGGTTGCCTGTACTTGGCGCGAGACTCGACCGAGTCTCTTAATGGAGTTCCTAGCAATTTCTTAAGAAATCCTGCTGGTAATGGTTTCGAAGTCTGAAGAGTTTTCTTTCTTCACATCTGCAATTTTTCTTTCAAGCTTTTCTTGGGCTTTTCTTGTTGATTTTTTCTTCTTCTTGATTTCAAATCGCATTCCTTCTATTTGTATAAACAGTAGATTAAAACATTTAGGGATAGATAATTCTGGTACTGGGCTCGCGTGTTTGTTGTGCGCTGAATTATCATCCTCCTCCGCGTTCGCTTCTTTGTTGTTGTGTCACATTGGTTCGAAAGCGTTCAAATTTTCCGGGGAGATATGCTCCGCCTGCAATAGTTTTTTCGGAGAATGTTTTGTAATAGATCTTTTTTGACGGGAGATTCGGCCAATATTTTGTTCATTAGTTAGTTTCCTAAATCACACCTTTTTCTTTTTAAAATGTCTTTAATATTCCCTGCCGAATCACTGCTTGCTCGGTGTACCAGCGCCTTTGCCTTGGTGAGATGTCCGAGCTGTCTTTTCAGTTCAGTTGTGTTGTAGATGTCGGTTTCCTATTTACGAGGGACGTTCGAAAAGTAAGGTCACTAAAATTCTAAAACGTAGAAAAATGCAAATTTATATGCAAAACTTTAATAGTAGTATACATACACATTAAACTATTTTTCGACATAGTCGCCGTTGACCTCGGTGCACTTGGTGAGCATGGGAACAAGATTTTGTATACCCGTGTTAAAGGTCTCTCCTGCCGACACCTTTCTCCATTTCTCCACCATCTCCTTCACTTCCTCATTGCTCGAAAAATGTTTTCCACTCATGAAATCCTTCAGAAGCGTGAAAAGATAGTAATCTGAAGGGGCCAGGTCGGGACTGTGCGAAAGATGATCTAGAACATCCCAACCGAACGAATCAAGGATGGTCTTCGTCATCCGTGTCGTGTGGGGCCTAGCGTTGTCGTGCAATAGGCAGATACCCTTTGTCAACCGGCCCCTCCTGTTGTTCTGGATTGCCCTTTTAAACATTTTTTAAGCGCAAAGAAATTTTAGAGGCCGATAAGCCTTCCGCGTTGAAAAAGCGGATAACTGCGCGGACCTCGCACTTGGCGGGAGACGAAATCAAGGCGCTGATCACAAAGCGTTTTCCTAAAAAAAAACCACGCGAGCTACTGAGATGAGACTCCTCTTGTTCGCTTCTCAAGAACGTGCTCTATAAGACAATATTGCCAACTTTGAAAATAGAATTACTAAGTTAGGTAAAAAAAATAAGTGACTTTACTTTCCGAACGTTCCTCGTACTACTACAGCGAAGCTGGCTGAGCCATTATTTACGTCTGGGCGTACTGCTTGTACGAAGTTTGCACCTGTGTTCCTTTTCTCGCAATCAGTATTATAGTTTCCGCTGTTGTTCGCATTATCGGTTAAGGTAAGGCTCCTGTTATCATGCCTCTTTGCACCGTTGCGGCTTGAGACGGTTTTCGGCATTTTGCTTACCCTTCTAACTTCTATCCGATTGTATATGTTTAAGAACTTAATGCGAAATTAGTTTGCTGGATGCGTGGGGCCGATATTTAATGTCTTCTTGGAGCAGGGTATGTGGCTTTTTCAATTGCATCAGATTTTTAGTGAAAAATTTAACAGTGATTTGAATTCAATTTGCTTATTAATTGCAGCAATACTTGTCAACGTATTGCTCCTTTACCATCCATAATGGCTCCCCTAGTGTATACAGTATACATATACATATATATAATGGGTCTTATTATTTTTTTTAACTATTTAATGATCGTTTCAACAAATTGCTGACACATTGTTAACTGACAAATATATTGTTTATATCAGTCATAAATCAATTGTTAAACAATAATTGTAAAATGTTATAAACATTACAAAGTACGATATCCGGTACATCTGCTTTAAATATTCTTCAACATTGTTAGAACCTGTAGCAATTTTATTCGGGTAAACACGTCACAATTGAAACAATCGATTTCTGTGTAAAAAACGGAATATGCTTCATATTTTTGACTATGCAACTTTATCGTGAATATAACATAGTATTAAAACACGGAACTTCTTGGTAGTATGTTCATTATATTACGAAAGAAAAAAGAGATTGGCATAATAAAAAAAGAGAGGAAGAGAAGACTACTTCGAAATTATTTGACTTACTGATGGCATGCTCTTGTGATAAATTACGACAAGGAAAAATATAATTTATCTGTAAAAATTTGAAAAATAGATACAATAAATATTTTGTCACGTACCGGGTTTTTCCGCTCGTTTGGCAGCCTCGATGACTTCATAGTGACCAACGCATTCGTCTGGGTTAGTACTTTCTGGGAAAAGATCGCAATGCAAGTAGTCTGGAAGTGTCAAGCCGAAAACCTCCAAAAAGAATCCGCAGCGCCTCTTCGTTTCTGTACAATAGATTTACGAAAAATATTATAGACTGTGGAAATCTAGTTTCTAAAAATGTTTATTTTGTTTTTATCTTTTTATTTTTATTGATTGATGTACGTACGGTGGCATAAGCTGCTACAGGGTCGAACCACTTGTCCTCTTGAACCGCATTTCGGAACGAATACGCTACAGAGAAATAAGGCTGCTAACTCGTAACATCTGACGTCCACAATCGCATCATACAGCTCCAATTCGTGCTGAGCGTCACGTTGGCCAAAATTTCCCATGTAGTTTGGAAAGACCGTAAAATTATAGGGAATCTGTAACAAGCATGCAATTCATCGAATATATTTGACATTGTACTGATACAAGATTAGGCATGAACGTGATTATCAATGTTTCATGAAAATTCATTTCCCCTTTTTCTCTTCTTGCTTACGCACTTAGGGAATTTCAGTAATCATTATCAATCGCGAGCTTTGATGGTGTTACGTATAGCATTCAGTAGCCTGTATAACAGTCAGTAGCCTCACTGGAATTGCAGACTCAGCACGTTACCCAGTGCGTTGCCCGAGTCACCTGCCCAGCTGTTTAGTTCACCGCATTCCTAAGGTCTTATCAATACATAAGAACATCAACGAGAAGGGACTATATAAATAGTCAAAGCCATGATACTAGCGTTAAAAAAATCGTTTAGCTTCACGCGCAAAAGATCGGACTACACATTGTCACTCGCGACTGTAACCGTTAGAGTATTAGATCCTGTGTAATATTTGTAATCTGCCCTAGGTACGGATTCGTTATTACATACCTTAGGGAAGAATCTATATAGGTTATCTGGCAAAATTGAGCTGCATAGATTAGTTTTTTCCATATTTTAGTAACGCGTCTACTACACATTTTCCGTCCCACAAAATTCTTTTCGCCTGAATCTCACACATAGTCAGGTTTCGTAACTCAATATTAAAATCTCTATTCCGAATTTCTCACTTACTCGACCAAACAAACACTGTAAACAATAATCATTTACTGAGACTTACTGATTTATTTGTAACAATATGTCGTAAATCCGAATTTTCTCGCGTATTAAACTTTTATTACCCATACGTAAGCATTTCAAGGAATATCACTCCACATTGGAATAGCAAGGCGTGTTTAAACACCTTAAACGAGCAGCGAACCCATTATTGAGTGCATCTTTACCGCTCGGAATTCATTCAAATTTATTCACGTTACGTCTGATCATTCCTTTTCTTTTCGTTACTTCTAAATTTTCATTATCAAATTTAAAGGCCTCGCTAGTCACTACGATCTATGTAAAAACGGAATCCTTAAGAATTTTGAGTCAGTTTTCAATCAAATTTGTATAGTTGGTATGAGGTTGACCTAGGGAATATTTAGTCTTGAATTTAATATGGTACTTTATTTTTAATACCGGAATTTTAAGCTAAGTAGTACGACACGTAATTTTTCTGAAACGAATTGATTATCAGGATTTCTAGCCATATATTTTTGAACTGTGTTTTTACATCCAAAATGATATTACACTACGAAACGTATTGTATTCTAACTTGCTGACATTTCGCAAACATTAGTGCTTGCTTTGTCGTCAAAGGTTGTCCTTTATACAGGGCCTTTAAGTATTCGTGAATTGCATACTTTCCCAAGCAGATGTTACATTAATTTTGGTTGACTAACCGAAATTAAAAAATCGGTAGAAAGGTTCGCCAGATTGGATGGACTTTCTATTATTTATCTCTATTGAAATTATTTGGGTCTTTTTGAATTTCCCAAGCTTTACTGTTTTCTCTGAGAAAGTGACTTGGAATTAACAAGGATCATTGTATGATCGAACCGATATATTTAATATTTCAATATTCTCACCCACATTATGCTCATGCACCTAATTCAAATTAGAAATGATATGTCAATTTTGGATCCACATTTCGCATATCTGCTTTATTCACCTTCGTTCATATCCCACATGCATGAATCACAAGTTAATTTGAATCTAATCTGAAATAGGTCAACTAATCCTAATTTATAAAAAGTAATAATCTGGAAACTTTACAGGAAATAAGTTAAAATATTTCTTTAGAAATCAGAAGCTCAGGTTCCAACTGAACTTACGATGATGAATTGAATAACCGGAGCGGAATGTTAATTAGAATGAAAAGTGGACCATATTAGATGTTTCGTAAAATAAAATCAGACGGAATAATTTGGCCCATATCTAAGGTACAATGATCTTGATGGGTCAATGATCAATGGGCACATTTGATCTTGATCAGGTGCTTGACCGAACTCGGAATAGATGCCTTATCAGAAACAAGAATTCTATAGAAATTATCACAAAATCGTTTAGATTGTTTTGATATTCGTCAAACAATATAAAAAATATAATTAAAATAATGGCAAAATTGAACATGTGGTTGATGGAATGCTTAAAGTGAGAAATATGATATTTTACCCGCAGAGCCATCAGCCCAATTTGTATACAGGGTGTTCCGAAATTACCTAACCAACGGGGTATGGCGGTGTTCGGGAGACACCAATGATCACGAAAATGACCTTCCTTTTCTCCGGAAGGTCATAGTTTTTAAGTGGGAGCAGGTCAAAATTGACCAATCAGAAGGAGGCGTCAAGAGAAACGTAGGCACCTACGAACTCTGAGTTTTCTTCCCTCGCTTTTGTTTCTCGGTGGCTTCGGGCAAGATGACGTCACCCGAAGACATGCCTATTGGAAACAAGAAACAAGAAACAAGCCACTGAGAAATAAAAGTTTGACCTGCTCCTATTTAAAAACTATGACCTTCCGGAGAAAAGGAAGGTCATTTTCGTGATCAGTTGTTACAGACAGACCAAGTTTTTATTGATCTTTATTACAGTTATTAGTTCAGTGTTAACCTTAAATAAATTGTTGTGTTACTATTTGCGAGCGAGTTTATATCAGAGCGCTTATGATTATGTTGTAAGAAAAGAAGTTCATGATTGTAAAAGGCGGCGCGAAGAGGGTAAGAGTGAAAATTTCGCAAGTAGATTGTTCATATATGCAAGGCACGAAAGCTCCTCACAGGCTGAGCTCTATCTTGCGCGAACTCGCTTATGGCGTAGTCGCGGCCGTGAAGCCCTCAGCTAGGGAAGATCTATGATCGACCGGAGGCTGTTATTGACCTCGTTAGGGTGGTGGAAACACCACCCGGGTTTTGAAGGTCATCGCGTGCACGGGAAGAAACCTCACGGTTCACCCGTGGCCGCCTAGGCTCAGGAGTAAGGCCTGAGGAGAAGCTTAGTGCGAGCGCGATGTTTATATACAGTGATGATGAGGTAGAACACCCACCCTCTTCGCAAAATCTTGTTGGTACAAACTTTACATACGGTGGGGGTTGTCGGAGAGAGGTGGAAACAAGATAAAAGGGAGACCGGAAGCCGCTCGGTGTACTCTTGTGTTCGAACTTTCGACAGTAAGCCGCGACAAATAAAGAAAAGTAAACAAAAGAAAAACCGTCTCGACTCCATCACAAAGTGAATTCGAACGAAAAAAGGAAGGTCATAGTTTTTAAATGGGAGCAGGTCAAAGTTGATCAATCAGAGGGAGGCGTCAAGAGAAACGTAGGCACCTGCGAACTATGAGTTTTCTTCCCTCCCTTTTGTTTCTCGGTGGCTTCGGGCAGGATGACGTCAGCCGAAGACATACCTATTGGAAATAAGAAACAAGCTACTGCGAATCAAAAGCGAGTATATCAGATAGAAGTGATAATTAACACTGTTTGTATACAGGGTGTTCCGAAACTACCTGACCCGGTGGGTATGGCGGCGTTCGGGAGGCTTCACTGATCACGAAAATGACCTTCTTTTTATCCGGAAGGTCATAGTTTTTAAATGGGAGCAGGTCAAAGTTGATCAATCAGAGGGAGGCGTCAAGAGAAACGTAGGCACCTGCGAACTATGAGTTTTCTTCCCTCCCTTTTGTTTCTCGGTGGCTTCGGGCAGGATGACGTCAGCCGAAGACATACCTATTGGAAATAAGAAACAAGCTACTGCGAATCAAAAGCGAGTATATCATAGAAATTAGAGTATCCCCCTATCGAATTGTAAAGGAACTCGAAACCCAGTTTGAATTGTTGCGCGCGCGACTAAGTTCGGAAGAGGGCCCAGCGCGCTAGATTAGGGGTGGGGATTTCACCACCGAGCGTATGCGAGCCGATAGAGACCCTCTCTTGCTGGCTGTCCGTGGTGGTGCGCAGACGTTGTTCGTGTCGTTAAATACCGGTGAGTTCAGAGGTTCGATTCGCGCGGAATTTTCCTGGGACTAATTGCTGTCGATTATAGTTCTCGAATCCTTGTGGTTCGAGGCAACGTTCGTATACGGGAAAATTCCGTGGTTATCGTATCTTTTACTATTGTATTTAAGTAGTGTATAAGTTCGAATTGTAATCTTAGTGTGACTAAAGGAGAGTAATTTTCTGGATCCTGGAGTGTGGCCAAAGAGCCTACGTGTCGTTATCGCTTCTCGGCAACAAGACGTAACGTAGCATAGGTTTCTTTCTACTTTACTGTGTTCATAGTTTCATCAACGACGTATCTGACCATATGTATCATTTGTGTTATAATTGTGCTTAAGTTTGTTATCCTCCCTTGTATTGTGATATGCCATTGCTTCGCGTTCTCGCGGGATAGGGCTATCGTCTGTATTACACCCGTCGAGCTATCGTCTAGAGAAGTCCGTGACTACGCCACTGTAGGATTGTTACTAGGGCTATCGTACGATTCTTGCTGACAAATCCTAGCGACCGTAAAACTCACGCGTACGAATTTCGGCATTTTCACATAGTATTAACTTTGTTTCAACCATTACGAAAGTGTATTGTCCCCGCGGCGGAACGTAGGTGCTGTCCGAGATAGAGGACCCCGACCTCGAGTTATTCCCCGTGGGCTATTTTCGTTACGTTGTTATCCACGTCCTAAATAAAAAGGACATTGTCATGTTTGGTTAACCTTCTGACTGGTGATATTTCGCGACCTCGATCCCTTCCAATCCAAGACCCCAGCCTCTCTACCCTTACGTTTCAGATAGAACGGGCTGAGCTAGTGTGCTCTCGATCGAATCTTCGCGAGGGCGGTTGCCGGATAAATTTACGCTGAGAAATCTGTATCGTTCGGGAGGCTTCACTGATCACGAAAATGACCTTCTTTTTATCCGGAAGGTCATAGTTTTTAAATGGGAGCACGTCAAAGTTGACCAATCAGAGGGAGGCGTCAAGAGAAACGTAGGCACTTACGAACTCTGAGTTTTCTTCCCTCGCTTTTGTTTCTCGGT